TGTTTTTTTTTTTTTAAATCTATATTTCCATAATTTCCTTAAAGGTTTTGATCATCTCATTTGCTCTCTTTTTTTAAAAAAAAACTTGTAATATCTAAAATGCTTCAATGGATTCCCATGCCTTATAACTTATATTTAGTCCATTTGGTATGAGATAAATGTTCTTTTAAAATACAACACAATAAAAATATATCCACATACTACAGATATGGGAGCTAATCTGTGTTAGTGAACCTATGGCACCTGTGCCACAACCAGATGTTTGTTAACATTGAAACCGCTAAAAGGTTCGCCATCACCGGTCTAGGTGCTGATTCCACACACCTAACCCAGACTATCCTGTTCTTCAATGCGTCTCTTTCCATTGCTCACTTGTTAGTGACCAGCAAATGGCAGTATGGAATAAAGGCTGGCCATTTGAAAGAATTCTTACTCTAAGGAAGAAAGCAATGCCTCTCTGGACTGTCTACCCCTACCTGAATTCCCAGTTCCAGCTCTGTTCAGTTCAGCCCATCCTTCCACCAACTAGACCTCAGTCCTGAAAGCCATGTTGAAGAGCAATATGTCATGCTGGTAAACATTCTCAAACTCAAACATTTAAGATAAACCTCATTTATTATTTTTTTTTGAAGTTTTATGGTCAGTTTATTAAGTTCAATGGTGAAAGTTATCAGAAGAATATTCTCCTGAGAGTTATTTTTTCTTAGAAAAAAACAAAGGAAAATTAAAAGCCTCTCCGCACAGCCACAGATGCTGTGGCTGTGGAGCTCTCCGGAGATGGTGCATCAGTCCTCTGAGTCACTCCCTGGTCCAGCAGGGTTGTAGTCTGGGTCGTCCTCAACATCCTCCAGCTCCAAATCATCCAGTTCCTGGAACAAAGACTCATCTACTTCCCATTATTTCCAGCATCTTCCAAGAACTGGATATCAGATGTGTCAAGATTATGATGAGTTTCAAACAGCTATTTTCCACTTAATTTATTTTTTCCTGCTTGCTCTTCTTCTTCTATCAGTTTCTTTTTAATTTCCAAGAGTTCTGCATCAAACTTGGCTTTCCAACATAAGAAATTCTCAATTGTAACAGGGGTGGGGTGGAATAATTGCTTCTCTGCTTCTTCTGCTTCTTTTTCTTTTAGTTTCTTTTCTTCCTCTCTTCTCGTTTTTATCTGATCTACTCTTTCATTTAATTTTTCTTGCACTGCTGTCACTAAAGATTATGACCACACCAAGATTTTCCTCATCCTGTAATGCTAATAATTTTAAAATGTCTATGACATCATTATCTTCTAGGTTTTCCTGGGAAAATATTTCATAAAGAGGAGCTTCATCTGGGTATTTTTCACTGTATGTAAACTTGAGGGTAGTCTGGACAGTTTCATCATTTTCTCCAACCTCAGATGTCACAGTGATGGTGAAACTGGGTGGATTTTCTGATGATACTGAAAAGCACTAGCTGCAACTCCAGAGTTTCTTTGCAGCACCTTGTCAAGTGAAGAACTATTGAAGAATGTAGTATCAGGTAAGTCCACTTATATTTTGGAAGATTAGTTGTTAGGAAGGATGGCTCAGTGTGCAAACAAGCTGTGAAGGGGTCAGGGTAGGTAGACTCCAGAGCCTCCTGTTCGTTTCGCAGCTCCTGCTGTAGTCGGTCATCGTCGCCCTGGCTGATGCCCATGGAGCACGACTGATGCTCAGGCAGCGCGCCACAGCCGAGTCCCGAGGCCTCCGGTCAGGCACGGCCTGCTGAGCCACAGCCCCGTGCCGCTCTCGGCTGATCGCTAGTTCTGGATAAACCTCATTTAAACTTGATTTTGCAATGGGTGAAGTACTTGGATAGACATTTCTCCTAGGAAGATATGCAAGTGGCCAACAGCATATGAAAAGATGTTCATCATGATTATTAGAGAAATGCAAATTAAAATTGCAAGGGGGTGTCATCTCACACCCACTAAAATGCTTCTATCAAGGAAATATAATAAATCATAAATGGTATATCAAATTTTTATAACAAAATTTTTTTAAAAGTCACCTACACCCAAAATTTAAAAAAATTTAAACAGGTTATTGTACATACTTCAAAAAAACACATGAAAATAGAAATAATTATAGTAAAACTTTGAATAACTTAATAGATAATAAATTTATAAAAGTATGAAAATAGAAGTAGATTTTTTGGTATAACTTCCCCTTTTTATTCTGTCATCTTTAAAGGACAGCCACACTCTTTCAACGATATTCCTTGGTGACCTCATTGGAGTCTGAATTCTTGGTGTGATGGCTCTCAGTTCCGAGCAACAGTGTATGCCAAATGTTCAGAGAGAGTTTTTCAGTTGATCCAATGTTTCACTTGTTATGTAACTTTCTGGTCTCTCCCTCTCTCTCTCTTTTTTAATTTGGAAAATGACTGTCTACAAACTTAACTAATCTGGGCTGTGATCAATATAAAATACTTATTGAATAATATGGCATCAGAATCTGTGAAAGCAAAATTGGAACGTTCTCTAAATAAGGGTAAGAGAAAGGGGAACTTCTCAAAATTACTCATCTCTGAAAATTACCCTGGTTTTTCAAATTACTTTTTAAAATCAACCTTGCCTTTAAATTTTTTTTTAGTAAACATCACTACTTGCCTTAAATTTCTTCTGCTCATTTTCTGATCACTGAGTGTGTTTAAGAAATACTCAAATTTCTTATTCCTGGCGTGATGTATGTTGTCCGTGGACTGAGATAAAAACCATTCTCTATTGCTCCTCCATGATGTTTCCACTGAAGGACACTCTTTCTGCCTTTGGGGGCAGGTTTTGCAATTGTGTTTTTGGTTTTCACCATGTGGATACATTCGGATTGCAAGAAATCAAGAAAGCACAGATACAGGACTCAGATGAAGCTAGTGAAGTACTAACTTCAGGAGCAAAATAAGGAGCCTTTCAAAAACTCTGTAATCAAGATAAATACCACTTTATTGTCATATGTTTAAAAGTCCATGTAGAACCAGATATTATAACTTTAAATTGGGACAAGCTGTTTTTTGTTTTATGACCCTGCATTACTGGGCAATGGGAACAGTCATTTCTAATCAGCCACTAATACCCTGATCTCTGACTTCCTCCATTTGGGCTGTTTTATGGGGATGGACAACAGGTAAGCAAATAAACTAGGCAATCCAGAGCTTTATGTAAGTCATCTCTTTTGACTGAGCAGTTTTATCAACTTTCTCCACTTGGTTCAAATTATGGGAAATATTTTGGCAAGATTTGCAGGGATATACTTTTTTTCTTCAGCCATGGACTCCATCCAGTATGGTTGGGGAGGTTACAAAGGGGCACAACCCTCCCTTGGAAGCCTACATTTCAAATAGAGCCTGTGCTTAGCAGTTCCGGGTGTGGAAGGAAATGTTCACCTTGGACATATTTTTATGTGACAGTTTTCTGCCTTACAGTACTTTACAGTGTATTCTTGCTCTTTTCATTAGAATCAGCAGCAACATTAAAGAATGATACAATGGTTTCCCCACTAGTCTCCAATAAGTGTGGCAGTACATTTTTTTAATAGCTGCACATTTAGACTACATATTATAGAGACTGGAGCATATGGGATTTTACCAATTCTTGGTCTATCAAGTTCCTGACATTTTGTGCCCAATTTATCAATGCATCACAAGATAATTTCTCAAAGTAGAAGTTGATTCAGGGATATAAAATTACATGCTTAAAAACTCAGTAGCATATATTTATATAAAAGAATGGTGAAATATTTAAATCATCAGGAACTCTAGTGGCTAAGACTGGTCCCATTTGAAGAAACAGTGCAGACAGAAGCTGTATTTCAAATAATCTCTATTTTTCAGTTTTTCACTGATACTTTATTACTTTCAGTGTCACCAGATGCCAACACTAAGGTTAGGTGTATTTCTTGAGCCCAGGGGTTTGCCAGTATTAGTATTGGATTTTAAAAAATCATAACAGACTACCATGATTCCTCAAATGTTTACCAAAATAAATCTTTCAGGTTTAAGGACATTTGGTTTTCTTTTAATTAAAAAATATATAATTGTTTATTTCTGAAAATTTACATGCACCTTTTTTGTTGGTGTATGTTTTAAATACATGATAATTCCCATGTTCATCATGGAGAATTGGTCCATATACATATCTCATCTTAATCATTCTTTTTTCCTCTCTACTCCACATGTTCTTATCTCCCCTTTTCTCCAATCCTCTTCCTATCACCAGTCTACCTCCCTGATTCCCACTATCTCTCTTTTACTTTGTTCTTTTTTTATATTATTAGTTCTACTAGTACATTAAATTATTTATATTTTGGGTTTCTCACACAAGAGAAACCATGAAATATTTATTCTTCTATGTGTGATTAATTTCATTTAGAAATTGGTCTCAAAATTCATTTATTTTTTCTACAAATGGCTCAAGTTAACCCTCCTTTATAGCTGAGTAGTATTTCATTATGTGTATATATCATATTTTCGTTGTCCATTCATCTGTTAATGGGCATATAGGCTGCTTTCATAGTTTAGCTATTGCCAGTTTTGCTGCTGTAAACATAGATGTGCATGTATTTCTTTGATATGATCATTCCTTTGGGAAGATACCCAGAAAAGGAATAGCTGGGTCAAATCAAATTTCTAGTTTTAATTATTTGATGAATCACCATATTGATTTTTAAAGAGGTTATATTATTTTAAATTCCCACCACAATGTGGGAGGGCTCCTTCTCCCATTTGGTATACTTTTTTTTTCTTTTGCTTAGTCTTGAAATGCAAATGTCAACTTGGAAGATTAAAAAATTTAATGCCATCCACTAACCTTAAAAATAATAATTAACACCTCAGTTCAAATGAAATTATAATATTTTCTTTAATAATGACTGGTTTTTAAACTTTCTCAGTCTCAAGAGTTAGGGATGACACTAAGCAATTAAACAGTGAATGCCAATTCTTCAAAATATTTTTGTTAAAATATACCATTATAAATATTATATACTTGGCATTCTTTCAATATTATTTGTAATTTTGAGTATAAATATTTATTTCCTGGAACTTGTTCCATGAAATTAAATACAGGCTCAAAGGGGTTGGAAGTTCTCATGGTATTACAGTGAACAGGGATTTTTTGGATGCCACTCACCTCTGACATGTACGGGGTACATGTGAGCTCAGCTTGGCTAGGGACTAAAAGGAGATATACAGCTTGAGCTGGGGGTGTGTGAGGGGCCCTGCCCCACCCAGGAATTAGGAAGCAGATGGGGTCAACTTTTGTGAGCACATAGTGTGAGAGAGAACAAATATGCAGCCTTTAAATCCTTTTTTAAGACATCTAAATAGATAAGCTGGAGATCCCAGTAGAAGAAGAGAAAAATGAACACTGTGCTTCTGGGAGCCTCAGTGATTTGCAATCTACCATCCCAATTAGAGACATCTGTCAGTTCAAGGGGAGAGCAGGAAATGGTACCCTGCAAACCCATGCAAATGACTCCTGAGCAAAAAGGTCAGTTTTAACTGTGTGTTAAGCCCAGAAAACTTGAAGTCTGATAGTGAAAGATCATTTCAGCTGCTGAGTTCTGGAAGAGACACTGTCTGGTGAGTTGTTGAAGGAAGGGAAGGATCACACTGTACATTACAGGAGAAATCTCACACATCTCCAACCCCCATAACATGTGTTTCCTGGAAAAAAAAAACAAAAAAAACAGGTCCACATTAGGAAAAGAAAAAATTTGATATCTGATGTGACAGCAAACTTTTCACATCAATGTCTGGATTTATCTCGTACAGGACATTCCACTGTCTCATTTGAGACTGTATGATACAAAATGACTTGAAAATCAGAAGGGAGTAGCAAATCCATGGACATCTCGGATTTTTCATTTAGGACAAGATAAGATAATGGCCAGAGGTTAAATTTTTAAAATACAAATGAGAAACTAATAAAATAAGTAGAGAGATAAATACAACTGTATGTTGGTCACGTCATGACGTCTGCTCAAGTCATTTGCTCTCACTAGAACTATTTTCTGGCTTGTGGCAACAACATCATTAATGTCATTGTAATTACCCCTTTCTCTGACCTTGTTGCTGTGATCTATGCATCTGAAAGGTGAGCTGAGGTGGCTCATTTGAGTGTCCCGTTAGAGACATTGTTTTGGAAAAACCAAGCATGGTGAAAGCATCTGATCCCAGGTGTGAATGTGAGAGATAAAAGTCAAGCTCTGCAAATGTAGTTACAGTCTCATGCATCTGCTTTCTCTCACTTGTACCATGGCCTTGTCTTCAAAGTCAGGCTCCTACAACCAAGCAGATTATGGAGGAATGTCATCTTTTTGGGGAAGCCACCAGCACTGAGTATGAGTTAACACCCCCAGCAGAGGGTACCAACACTCATTCCTAAAGGACTTCATTATACCCTCCCTCCCTGACCGAAAGCAAAGTTGGGTTTGTTTCAGTGAAGCCGCGTTTTCTGTACTCAGGTGATTTGTCTCTCCTATGAAACCATTTCCAGGTACCACTCCTGGAATGCTAGCAACTGTTTATTTAGAAGGACGTGTGGCTCAACCCAGACCAAAGGCCACCCGGTGTTCCTGCTTACATTTCTATCTTTCACTGAGTGGCATTTGGAGAGGGCTTTGTGAAAACAGAGCAGAGTCCTCCAGGGAAAGCACACAAGGTTAGAGCTGTAAATTCTGCTCCCTAGTTCTACTGTTTCATGTTCTATCATGCTCCTTAATCCCTGCATTGCTGAGGTCAAGGATCTCGTCTGGCTCCTCAGTAACTTGTGCTGCACAGAATTCCCATCTGATTCTTGTGCCTTGTCATGTTTGAGGTGCAAGGCTGACTCCCTGATGATCTCAGGCACAGCCTCCTTTGGCAGAAACCAGCTCTCAGAAGTGAGCATTTTATGGATGAGTGCATGTCTGTGATATTTTCTTTAAACAGCACTCTGTGTTATAACTGTTATCTGTTAAACAAACACTAAAGTACACAGAAGGGTCTTTGGTTCAGGGCTCTGGGATCTCACCTAGGTCCAAATCAAAGAATGAGTTGACAAAGCCAAGACCAAGATAATTGGACAGTTTAGACCTCGGCATTAAAGAATAACCATATGTATGATTTCATACTCAGACATACACTGTTTCTATGACACCTGAAGAATATTTGTTTTGAGTGTGAATAAATATTTGGGATCATGTCTTTGAACATTTCATTCTCCTCAAATTTTAGAGATCCCAGCTGTGTAGGTGCAGACTCCAGCTGTGAATGCATGTGGCTGTCTAGAGAGAGGAAACCTTCTTTTCTCTCATCCCAGCCTTGGTACCAGTGAACCCACCTACATCCTCCTTCCTTCTCTCTTTGATTCTCTCCTTTGCCGCTGTCGCTGTCAGTGACCCTCAGTCAGCGATGAGTTGGCTCCCATTTGTTAACATCTGGAGATGAGATTGGTATCATTGTCAGATGGTAGGGGTCTGAGGTAGTGCTCTAACTTTCTTAGGTAAAAGTCACAGGCGCTAATAAACGTCCAGCAATGCACAAGAGAATCCTCCAAAGCAGTTACCCAGCCCAAAATATCAAATTTGCTGAGAAACTTTGGTATAGTCCTACATTGTAGCAGGAATGGTCCTTTAAAAATACACCACAAAAAGTGTTAGCTTTGCTTAGATACTTTTCTACCTCCTCCCTTACTGCCCTTGAATCAACTCACAGTACAGAAACTAGAGTGATCTTGTTTAAAGGCATACGAAGCTGGATGTGGTTGTGCCCATCTGTCACCCCAGCATCCTAGGAGGCTGACATAAGAGGATCACAAGTTCAAGCAACCCTGGGCAGCTTAGCAACCTAGTGAGGCCATCTTTTAAGATATTCAATAAAACATTTTAGAGTCCTGGGGATGTAGCCCTGGGTTCAATCTTTAATATGGAAAAAAAAAGCAAAGAAAAAAACTATAAAAAATAGAAACAAAATCATGAAGGATTCTGTCTTTTTTCTGCCCCAAGTCTCCAACGGCTTCTCATATCTCAAAGTAAAAGCCAATGTCAGGGTCATAAGCGATGAGCTCTGGCTTCTTCCTCTTCCCCACCTTATCTCCTAACCTTGGATCACTGCGCTCGCTCTGCGCTCCAGGCTCCTCAGCCCCTTGACATCTTGGAACACACTAGCTCCACAGGGCTTCATGACTTTTGTACTTGCTGTGCCCTTTGCCCCGGAAGTTCTCCCCAGTCACATCCACATATCTTATATCTTGCTTCCTTCAGGGATGTGTTCAAAAGCTCCTATTAGTGAGAGACTCTCTGCTACCTTCTGTAAAATTGCAGCACTGTCTCCTCACGGAGTTGCATTGTTTTCTTTAGCTTTCACAGCTATTTAACATGTTTTACTTATGCATTTTGTTTATATGTTATCTCCTTCTAAATTGTAATCTCCATAAGGCAGGGGTTTCTCTCTGTTAACTGCTAAGTCCCTGTTTCCTGAAAAATGCCTAGTTCTTGTGTGGTGTTCAAATACTTTGTGCTGAATGAATGAATAAGTACAATGAAGACATGAACAGTTGCAATTCAAACACTTCATTTTGACATTCTTGGATCATATTTAGTTTTGCTGTCCTGTGGATATCAAGATGACTTAAAGCTTTAAAAATGAATTCTTCTCAAAGCTACTGATGCAACCATCTGAAGAAATTAAATATGAGGTAAGATAGAACCATGGGTTAATGTTTAACATTCTGAAGCTCTTCATTCTGAAGGCTAGCTTTAATATGTTAAGAATGCTTTGTGTGTGTGTGTAAACCAAGTAAATATGATTTCCTAAGAGGTGAAATCAACTCTAGACTTACGCATTGTATTCATGAAGGAGTCAAGCTTGGACTGTCTCTGCTGCAGTTTGCTACAAAGAGAAATTCTACAGACTTAGAAGAACTAAAGTGCTGCTCTGTTGCTGATGTAGCATTGTACTTCTGGAAAAAAGCAACCTTTGTTCCCAGAGGTACAACGATTTAGCTCAAAGTTTAAATTTCCATGGTATCAGTTTCCTCACCCTATAGTCATGAATGTCCAAAGATATCTCTTCTGGAACCAAGGGAGAAGCCAAGCGAGGCCCTTCTGCATGTTGTTAGTAGTCATTAGTACAATAAAGGTGAGTCACAAGAGGCAACTTATCCAGACCCTGTCTCAAAGTAAAAAATAAAAAGGGAGAGGGAGTACCTCAGTGGTAAAGAGTCCTTGGGCTCAATTACCAGTACTGAGGAAAAAAAAAACCAAAATACAATCCTTATCTAAATGTTAAATTTTATGAATATTTAAAATAACAAGATAAGTTGAATCCATTTTGCAATCATTATTTGTCATATTTTTCTCGAATTTTAAGTTTAAATACAGTATAAAAACAACATTCACTGAACTATCATTCTCCTCATCATATGAACTATGTATGTCATGCATAAGTAGTATTTTTATCTATGCACAGGGATCTGACTTGGTATTCTTTGCTACAACCACTGCTTAGTCTTTTTTTAAAAAATAAATTCCTCAAAATAAAATGCTCTAGTGGGTTGGGAAATTTTGTTTTAAAAAGGATCTTATTAGATTGATCCCCAGTGTCATTTAGGCAGAGATACAAGAGCAGAGATTCCAGGGCTGATATATTTTATCCACAAATGGAAGGATAATGTGAACAAACACGTTTGATCTGTGCCCCAGAGCTCAGCATGGCTAAAGCCAAGGGTGCATCCCGAGTTATAATTTGAGCCCCTATTCAATCCCAACCACCAAAGTAGAAAATTTAAGTGCTCTGAAAGATTGAACTGAGATAAACAAAAACTTCTTCAGATACTTGCATTACAAATCCTTTGAGAGCAGGCTGAATTTGGATCATGAAAGCAGAGCTCAATTTGTACTTTTGATTTTTTCCAATTCCACATTTTTAAAAATTATTCTTTTAACACCTCTCTGTGCAGAAGGCAACAAGCTTGCTTTGTTTCCCAACTGACCTATTCATATCAAGTTAGCTATACCCACCGAACAGCACCCCCAGGTCCTAGGGAGTCCTCCTATGGAGATAGGTACTGGTACACAGACTTTGGCATTATTATAGAGAATTGAATCATTCAATGCCAAAAGACACTCTTTCTTTTTAAAACATGAACAAAATGCATGGAGGTTGTTAAAAACAAATCATTTTCCATTAATAAAAGTTGCATGATTGAAAGAAAGAGGAGCACATTGTTGTAATTACTGGTACATTAAGCAGGGGAGGAACAGCTGTGTGAACTTGGAGTCCATAGAATAACAGCCACCAGGCCAGCTTCCCCATATGATCCAAGGGAGGAGGTGAGGCTTCTGGCTGCTAGGGGATTGAGGAGGGGGCAAACTGGAGTCTCATTCAAGTAAGAATCTCATGCCAAGAAATGTCTGGCTTTCCAATCCAAACCCAGCTTCCTTTGGGCTGCAGTAGAAAATCCCCCTGGCTTCCATAACAAAAACCTCTAAAAGCAATGTTGCTTTTTCCTAAAGAGAGCAAAATGTAAGCGTTTTCAGACTTTCGGCTTCACTGCTACTAATAGAAAAGACAACCTCAGAAAGACTGAGTCACCTTCTTCACTTTCTTGGGGAGTGGCTATGACCAGAGATAATTGCTATAGCTTCATAAACACTATATTTGATCTAACATTTGCCTTTTCTCCCAATTTAAAGTAGCATGTGGCCAACAGTGGCAGGTCCCCACAACTAGGTACTGGCCTCATCTCTTATAGTGAAAAGAATTTTAATTATCTAATTGGCATTCGCTCTAGAATTTGGCAAATTTGGTAAGAGCAGATCAAAACTATAGTAACCATTCATTATCAATGCACATCCTAAACAGAAAAGCATTCCATTCTTCTTACATGGTGTGTCATAAATTAGACACAATACATTTTATTGTGAAACCTCCTCAGAAGACATTCCTGAATGGGCAAGGCAGAAAATACTTGCCTTATACTACACAGAGCCAAAATTTGATAGTTGTTGGAAGGGTAGGCTATAAGAAATCTAGCTATTTACAGGAGGAAATTCCAAATAGGCTACATCATCTGAAGGAGATGTTTTTGTGTGTACCATGTCTAAAACCATTCTGGTTTCCACTATATGAAAGTTATTGTCACAGAGGATGGTGACCAGCTGTTCTTCATTACCACTGAAAATAGAATGGGGGGGGGCATTAAAATGGAATTCAAGGAATTTGAGCTTCCTAAACTTTTGAGTGAGTTAACAGGAGAGGGAGCTACCCCAGGGAGTTATATAATACATGCCTTTCATTTGCTATTGCTGGCTCTCTTTTTTTGTAATAAAAAAGGCATTTGAAAACAGTTCAGGTACAATTTTGTCCACCAGTAAAATAGTGGATTTGAATATCTTACAAACCTAAAACACCTGAAAAATCTTTTTTAAGTACTGTAACTATGGAAAATTAGGCCGTATATTCAGTTGCATTTCATTATCATAAAATCTTATAAAATAAGGTCTCATGTCAGAGATATGTGCCTTTCACATTATAAATTCAGGCAGGCGTATTTCAAGATGGGCTATAATATTTTCCCTGTGGGTTAATACTTGATTGTCTAAAGACATGTCTCAATTTCAAAAGAAAAAGAACAGCGATCATTTCAAACAATACATACTAAAGTCGCTTAGAAAATTATTAGGTAGGTAGAAAAAATAGATGGTTATAACACCATTATTTGATAGGTATTACAGTTTCCATGTGGGCATTGTACATTAGGAATTTATAACTATATCCTAGAACAGATTTTGAGATATTAACCTGAAGGGATTTCATAATATAGCAGCTGTGGGAAGGGCATTCATTTCACATGCAGAGTCTATCTGTCTTTGCCAGGCTTCTGAGCTTCATAGTATACGCCCTTTTATATTGGCCATACAACTTGAATGAAAATTTCTTCTGGATCTCATTCCAGATGCCCCATGAGACCAAGCTACTTTTCAGCAATCTGTATATTACCAAGGGCTGCACTTGAATTTGAGCATCTCTGTAGACACAGAATCAGAAATGAGGGATTACTGGATTCCACTCGGTAAGTTTTCTTCTCAGATCCCATAAAAGAACATTGCTTTCATCTCAGATGATTTGCAGCTTCTCTGACAGCTAACGTTTGTCTTTGTGACCCATGCCTTCTATGGAAAAGATACAATTTGTAGGTAGCTTTAAACTTTTAATTTTTTTCTGAACAGTAAAACGTAGGTTCACTATATAAATGCATCCTGACTCAAAATTCCTGGGCATTTGGGCCATTTGCCATGACCCTCTGCATGAGTTTGAGTAGACTCAGATATTCCTGCCAAGTTACTGAATTGGTTACTTACTTCAGGAAATATTCAGTTATTTCATTGGAGACATAATTTGCATGAGCATCCAAATGTTTAACAGGGTCTGCAGCTATAAGTGATGTTATTATTTTTCTCTTCTCTTTATACTTCTATGCAGCAATTCCAAGGATCCTCTACTCAGTTCTCTTCCCTACAAAACCATTTCCTCTCATATGATTAGAATCAACTTCTGAAAAAGAAACAGCTAATCACAATAGTTAAGAACACTGACTCTGGACACCGATCCAATGGGCTCAATTCCAGCTTTGCATCTTTACAGCTGTGTGACCTGAGCCTACATTACTTGACTTCTTTGAGCCTCTAGTTCTTCCTCATAAAATGGGGATTTAGGAGTGTCTCTCTCATGTGGTTCTGAGGATTTTCAGGACTTTACCTTGCTTGGAACTCTGTAAGGTGAGCAGAGGAAGAAGAGGGATGGAATGAAACACACCAACGTTGGAAGACTAAGATCATACTCACTACTTTCCACACAGTAGGAAAAATACCATGCTCTATTTCTAGCAGTGTACCCAGATATTAAGTCCAATTTCAGTTTGAAGCAATGATAGATCTCCTTTTACTTGTAAATATGAGACACTGGATGAGATAGCCCATGATTACCAGTTGCTGGGAATGGGGATGGGGAGAATGCCAAATGAGGAATTTCACACATTGCCTCATTTATCACCTTCCTATGCTAAACAGGGTTTGAATAAACAATGGAAAGAATAAAGATAAGTGGAAGGTCAATTCTGAGAAATTAAACAACTGAAGTTTAGACCCTTCATTTCCCCTTCACAGAGTTTAGAGACTTCCTTCATCCTCCCAAAGCTTTCAAGACCAATTGTAAGCATGGCTATATTAACTCATCAGTTGAACCAACGTTAGTTGAGCACCTACTCTACCAGGCAGAAGCTGGGGAGAAAGGTTGAGGGAGAAAGGTGTGAGTAAAGCTCTAGATTGGAAAAGATAAATAAAATGCACTCCCCTCATCCCCAAGGAACTAAACACATGCCTCAAAGCAGCCGAGGCCAGAGTAAAGAACATAAGATGCTTATGAAAATGAGGTGTACAAAAGAGATCAAGATGGGCTGGGATTTAGCTCAGTGGCACCTCGTCTGCCTCACTAGCACGAGGTCCTGAGTTCAATCCCAGTTACAGAAAGAGAGAGAGAGAGAGAGGAAGGAAGGAAGGAAGAAAGGAAGGAAGGAAGGGAGAGAGAGAGAAAGGAAGGAAGGAAGGAAGAAAGAAAGAAAAGAAAGAAAAGAAAGAAAGAAAGAAAGAAAGAAAGAAAGAAAGAAAGAAAGAAAGAAAGAAAGAAAGA